TATTAATTATTTATCCTGTAGAAATGACACTATTGTTTCTACTCGCGATTTTTTTTATGCGCTCGTGGTGCACAGCCAGAAAAGGTCCAAGTATAGATTCCTCGAAGTAGGACACATGCAGAACATGGTTCAGACATTTTTAAGAAAGTGGAGGAAGTCCACATGTGCAAGACATTCTGAAAAACTGCTTGTTGCTCAGGTATAATTTTATGTTTCCCATGCACAAAGTTTAGGCCGTTGCAGGTTCAGGAAGGATTGCAAAAGCACCCCGACAATTGGAACACTGCTGGGGTTCTTCTACGCTGCTGGACATGCCACTCAACATTTGCGATTTTTGAAATATGGAGGCACTGGTATAAAATGAAAGCCTGGCAAAGAGAAAATAACCTACTTGCATTGAATCACCTTTCAAGAAAACTGTTACTAAAGAGTTTTCTTAACTTTCGAACCGCTGCTTACTTTGCAAGAAAACACAATTTTTGCAAGCTTGCTAAAACGCTACGGTTGCAAGGTAAGAATGTCATATCACTTTTCTGCCATTGAGATCTAGTTTGTTTCACTGACAGTCAAGGCGATGCATCATATGACACATCTTTGCAGAGAGAAAAAACACTTCAAAAAAATATATGTCCAGGGAATGCTCCACTTTGAAAGTAAGCTGTACAACTTAGTGTGGATTGGATGGCAAACATTTGTAGCTGGTGTCAAGGTGATATTCCTTAGATTTCCTAGCATTGTTAACAGAGCCTCTATATTGCTTAGGATCTGGCTTTGGCAAATGAAAAGGCACATTCGCACTATAGACTTTTGAATTTTCAGAAGGCATTCTTTGGATGGCTACATGTGGTAAGAAGCTGGCCGTTTCTTGATACTTACTGCTACTTTGACTTCGGTTTAGCTGAAGGACAACAGAGTTAAGCTTCAACAGTTAACAGGTTTAAAAATCCGCATTGAATATTCGTGCCTTCAAACAGCAATTCATTTTTGGCTTTTGTTTACAAAGGAAAGGAATGTTCAAGAGAAAAATGGTAGGCGACAAAAAACATTAGCAAATATTTGACATGTGTCGTGCGCCTTTCTCAGTTGCATTCCTCCAGCAACGTCAAAACAGGACACAGCTTTTTAAAACTTTTCATATCTGGGTGTCTAACACTCACAAGAAAAAGGTGGGTGGTCTTAAACCGCTTTCCTAGATCATTTGTCTGATCTTAACTTCACTAGTGTTTAAGAGTGGCATCTGAAATTCGTAGGCGTTCCCTTTTGAAGCATTTTCATGCTACCTGGAAATCGTTTGTTACAAGAATGAAAAGGAAAAGATTAGCGGAAGAAATGGTATTTCCCTTGAATTTTTTTATAAAAAAAAAAAACAAAAAACCATTATGTTTGCTGATTCCAGATAAAAAAGCGTGCGTTTTACAAGTTCGCAAGGAACGCGTTTCTTGCATGGCAGGATATCACCCGAATGGTAAGTTTCCAAGGCAGTAGATATTATTAACATTTTAAACTTCAAGGCGAAACATGTCCGGGCAAAACAAGCCATGGCTACTTCAAAGCTTCGATATGAGCAGGTTGGAATTGGGGCAGGAACTTGCCAATGGTTCTAATATCTGTTTTAGCTCCTCCATACATTTGCGAGATGGCGCCGGCTAGTGAGCCACAGCGTTTTCCTAAAGAAGGTTCTCACTTATTTCATGCAACGGAGAAAGCGGAAACAATACGTTAAATGGTAAAGTGGGTGGGAAGTGCTATACCTGGGTGTAACAAATCATGATGTTTAGGTTTGATGCAACTAAATGCTCAAAGAAGCTGCAACTTGTGCAGCTAGCAGTTGCAAGCAAAAGGAAGAATTACGCGGCCCGCTTGACACTGAGACATTGGGAGTGTGTAACACATAAGCATCTGTTATGCAAGAGACAAATGGAAAAAGCTTGTGACTTTCGAAGACGGTTCATTTTGAGAACTGTGGCTAGAAAGCTTTTGGAATGGAAGACAGGGCAGCAGCAAAAACGAAATCTTTATGCCGACGCTAGAGACAAGTTGCGCAAGACTTGTAAGAGGCTAGTTTTCAACGCATGGTCAATGGAAGCCTACATGTCGTCCGAAGAAAAAGTAACCATGACACAGTTGAAGCACCTACATGAGCAACGTTTGTTGTTACGGACTCTGAGATCGTTCCACCAACTTACAGAGGAGCATTGGCATATCAAAAGACAAGTGAGCGACTCCATGCGTTGTTTCTCAAACGAACACGTCACTGACAGGTGCTAAAAGCATTTGAGACGCATAAGGAAAGCAAAAAAGCTGCAACAGCGGCATTCTGGCATCGTCAACGTCTTTCGAGCATTATTTTGAAGGTAAAAAGGACATTAAGTTTCACAGTGAACCATGTCCACAAGCTGATATGCAGGGATGGTATTCACACAGTGCTATTATGAAAAAACTTCGAGAGCGCGATTGGGCATTTAAACGGAGGTCTTCACAGCGAACATTGAGCACCTGGAAGCTGGGTTTTCGTGGCAGGTAAACACATGCATAGTTTGGCTACGCTAAACTCTTGAATTCCATTCAGGAAGGACTTAAGAAGTGTGGAATCCCATGTCTCATACTATCATCGAGTGATGGTCAAAAAGAGTTATTTTCCTTTCTGGCAAGCATGTACCAAGAAATCACGCTATCAGTCACAGTGCCTTGTTTACCGATGTTTTAAGGTAAGAGAAAACACTCTGTGAACTAACTTAAGTTTATATATCTTCAGAAATGGATAGATCATTCAGAACAAGGAGCATTCTGGAGATGTAAGCAAAAACAAGTCACCTTTATCATCCTGCAGTCTTTGGAGAAGCGAATTATATGGGCGTGGCATGGCCTTGTTAGAGGGATTGCAGTTCGCCGAGAAGAGCATTATCAGCAAAGGCTAATTCAACGTGAGGCGATGGGAATGGCAAGTCGGACGTAAGTGGTCACAGTCCTTTCTACGATTCAATGTTTTTTTTTTTATCGTGCAGGGAACGGAGGCAGAAAACTGAGCTTTTGCATGGAATACTTCTGGTTTGGAAATGCAAAACGCAGCTTAGCAGGACCGCGATGGCTCTGTTGAACAAATGGAAGGTGCAGTTGAAGCGCTATATTTGGTCACATTGGCAAGCGCTGGTCACACAATCTCGAACATTCAGGCATGTCAAGTGGAAATGGATGCTGACAGTAAAAAGAAATTCATTTGTGCGGTGGAGAAGAGCCAGCTGGTCAAGAATTAAAGCAAATCAAAAGTACGAGTTTGAGGCGGCTAAAGTCGCGGAGAGCAGATGCTTGAAGAAAGCTTGGCTCCAGTGGAAAGCACTGTTGCGGTATAATCACGAGCGAGTTCGAGTCTTGAAGGAGTGCCTGGAGTTAATCCAAGCTGGTCAATTCTGGGAGACCATACGTGAGATAATGAATGCCTGGGGAGACTACGCAAATCAAAGGTCTGTTAAGTGATACGATTTTGTTTGCTGGCCTAAAAAACCTGTTATCTTTTGTTTTTTTAAGAAACAAGCGAAGGGAAAGACTCTGGTCTGCTGAGGCAGCGTATAAGAAACATAAGCTCATAGATTACTTTTCCGCATGGCGTCACTACACAAGGGCTTCCATCGACTCGGCAGCAAAATTACGAGGAAGCATCCAGGTTTATAATAACAGGAACATCAATCCTACGGATTTAAGGAAAAATGAGCACCAGCTCCACTCTGAAATGCCTCCTTCTGAGAGGCACTACAGGCAGAGCATGAGTGCCTATCAACGTCAACATGCTGCACAGCAGCAATTGATTATTCAGGAGTTGAAGCACAGTGAGGAGGATAACGGCGGTGGTAACGTTGCTCGTTCTCAGGATCAACAACAGGTTGTAAACACAGCAACTTCAGACAATGGTGCTGAATCTTGTGGGAGTAGCGGCAAAGAAAGCACTGTCACACTCAACGTTGCAACAACAAGACACATGAGTTTGGAAAGGGGTGTCTACGATGGAGTCGTTGCGACCGAAGGATGGCCATACGAACTGCCGAATGGTGGAGTTGCGTGGATTCGGTGCATGGTGGAGCATCACAACTGGAAAGAAACTTAAGCCGTACTCGCCAAAGTTAATAAAATGGCAAATGCCATGTAGTTGCTAGCCATGTTTAATCTGCTGTGTTCTTCTTTCTTTTTTTCTCTCTCTCTCCCTCTTCACGTTTGCTGTTTAGGTGGTTTCGAGCGGGTGTTGTTGCTGGGCATGTTGGTGGGCAGAAGGCTGATGTTCTTGAGTGGGAGCAGCAGTAATGCTAAGGTTGGGGCTCCCTAGAAAAGAAGCCCTACAGCATTGGCAAAACCAGTCGCCCCTAGGAACTGAAACTCCCAGACCCACGCAATAAGTATGTGCTGCCGAATCACACAAATCACACAAGAGGAGAAGGCCCTCGTCACCAATCTCTTGGCATTGAACGCACACAATGTTTGCATACGGGTCGCTTAGATCCCGGACTTCTTCGTCCGAGGGCTCATAGACCTGGAGTCCAAAGTTAGAATCGCGCTGGTGGATCATGAAAGCCAAGTACCTGATCGCGCATAGGCACATGAATGGTTCGGCTTCGGCTGGCGGGCTGTCCAGGATGAGTGGACCTTACAATCGTCATGAATCTCTGCTTACACATCGGGCATCGAGACTCCAGCTTTGACCACTCCACAATACACCCAAAACAAAAGAAATGGTCACAACAATCCAGCTTCCCCCTCTCTCTATCGTCCGTAAAGCAAATCCCACACGCTGATGCCCCCGCTGTGGCGGACGTCGGCTCGTCCTCCTTGTTGCTGGTTGCTACCTCGACGCGCTTCTTAATTGCCCCAAGGCCACTGTCGCTGCAGATCATTTCGCCCTTACAAATCGTTTTCCCCTTACGCTTCCCGCAAACCCTGCTGCGCTTCCGGGCACGCTTCTTGTGCGGCCTCTTCTTCCTCCTCATCCTCCTGTGTATTAGGGCTTGGCAAGAGGCGCGACTTCAAATGTTTAAATGTTTGGCGCCACGTCAAGAGGCACACGGCTCCGTACGGCATCGTACAAGGGAATTGTATTTTCATGGGGACGACGACTAGGCTGAACGTTATTTATGCTGGTGGTGCTGCTGCGGAGTCTCCGTCCGGGGTAGCTTCGTCTGTCTTGGGAGCCTCTGTAGCTGGAGGAGTCGGCAGCGGCGGCGGAGAGTGTGCGCAGTGCTCGCATTCTGTCTTCTTCTCGGGTTCTGGTGGTCTCATGGGGTCATTCCGCACCAGAAACTCACCCAAGTACCCAACCGGGTTGGGAGGCCTGAAAAACTCCACTTGTAACAAGGCATATATGTATGTATACAAACCTATCCACAATCAAGCTTTGCATCCCTTGCATGAGCAAGGGCACAACATTATCCTCCTGTAAAGGTGGAAACGCAGCAGGTGAAAATGAAGGGGGCTTTCGTGCTCTCTTACCTACCAGGTAATTCCGAACCGGGACCGCCCTGACGAGCAGCCTGACACGAACATTTGCGGCGTCGTCGTCTCCCGCCATGGCGATTGGCGACGCCCTCCAAAAGTAAGACTCCGCGTGTCAAGCGCTTGTGGTTGACTCGTCAAACGGCCACGACCCTTGCCCCGGTGGAATATTCGCTTCTCTTAGGTCGGGCTTCCAGGCCGCCCTGCCTGCGGCCATGGAGATCGTGACGGGCGACAGGTACTTGGACATGCTGGCGCGCTTCGTGGAGGAGAACGTCGCGGCGCTGCTGGACGGGAGCCGGGTGCTCAAGCTCAACCCGCTGGGCCTGCACTACCTCCAGGCGCGGCTGGATTCGCTGCAGGAGCTGGAGCAGCTGCACACGGCGGCGCCCGTGGACTACCTGCGCGCTTACATCGCGGACCTTGGCGACCACCGGGCTCTAGAGCTGCTCCGCCGTGTCCTTGGGCTGCTGGCCAGTGTCAAGGTCGTGTCGCTTGTGCAATCCCCTGCTCGGGATCCCACGCCCATCAATCTGCTGCCGTTCGAGAGGCTGCGGTCGCTGGAGCTCCGGGGCTGCGACTTGTCCACCTCCGCCGCCAGGGGCCTCCTCCACCTCCGCCCCCACCTGGAGAAGCTCATCTGCCACAACTCCACGGTAAGTGGACCACATTGCCTTTTGCCACCTTGAATCCTTGATGCCCTTTAGGGGACCTAGGATGCTCTGCGCCATGTCCTGGCCGAGCGGATGGTGGACATTGGCAGCGCGCAGTCGTGGAGCCGCCTCGCCTCCGTCTCGTGCGCCTGCAACGCGCTGCCCGTCATGGACGACTCGTTGCACTTGCTACCAGCTGTGGAGGTGCTCGACCTCCGCAGGAACAGGCTGACGCACGTCCTCAACCTTGGCAGCTGCAAGCAGATCAAGTTTCTAGACCTGGGCTTCAACTGGATCCAGTCCGTGTCCAGGCTAGACCAGGTTTGATGTCACACGCTTGGCTTCCCTGACCAACTTCCTTGACCACGCAGGTGTCCTCCTCTCTCACCACTCTTATCCTCAGGTTCAACGCGCTCTCCATTACCAGGGGCATCGACACCCTTGTCCTACTCCGCCATCTCGACATCTCGCACAACACCATCTCCAACTTTGGCGAGCTGGAGAGGTTTGGAGGCTTGCGCTTCCTTTCGTCGCTCTGCCTCCAAGGGAATCCCGTCACCTACGCTCGTGACTATCGGGAGAAAGTGTTCAGCTTCTTTCCGGACCCTGGCAAGGTATGTGCAGCCGCTACAAAATCCGGACGCTCTTGACGTGCCTCACTCAGCTCTGTTTGGACGGCCGCTGCCTGTCGAGGATCGAGGAATGGAAAGTACACAAGCTGTCTCGCAATAGATGCAAGCCGGACGGTGCCTTTGGCTTGTACGCTCCTGCTCTGAAACCTGTGGTGCCACACGAAGCTGCGGTGTCCAGAGGCAAGGTACGTCGTGTAGCACTATACGTAACGAGTAGAGGCTTGAACGAGGGTGGTGGCTCGCAGAAGAAAAGCTCCCGGCTTGCGGTCATCGCCAACGAGGACGGTGTTTCGACGCGTGCAGAGCAGGCACTGGATGCAACTGCAGCAGCCATGAGCCCAGACACGCAAGCGGCGGAGGCCAGGCTACACCGCCTGGTGACGCGTGCGCAGGCTCTGAAGAAGGACAAGCAAACCATGTGGCTGGCCGATGTGTCCGACCTGTTTGTAATGGAGGAGGGCAGCAGCCAGGCCGAGCCCGCAACGAGGAACGATAGCTTCCAGAGGGTGAAGCACGGCAGCAGACGAAAGAGAAGAGGTGGCGGCTTGGTGTCAGCGCGGGCGGCAGCAGGGCGCGGGGAGGTGGCCACCTCCAACAAAGTGCTCAACAAGCTCATAAACAAGCAAGCGTCGCCCACCTCTCGAACGTCCCCGCCGCATTTCAACAGGGGCGTGTTGGAGCGGCGGCACAAGCTCTTGCAAGTGAGCCTCGGCCAGCCCACTGTGGAAACCTCCGACTCGTCGACAAGCACGAGCGACCAAGACGCCTCCGTTGACGATGCCGCTCCCGCTGCGGCTCCGGCGGCCGCTGCTCACCATCATGTGCTGGGTGGTGACGACGACGAGAGCTGCTTCTCAAATGCGATGTGGGTTGGCTCGTCGGCATCACGAGACGGCGGTGGAGACGGCGAGAGCAGCGAGCTGCAATCGCAAGAGGTGGACAAGCTCAAGATGTCAAGGCAGGCGTGGCGGGTTGCTCCGGTGGCCGCCTCCCCAGAGTTGTAACTTGCTTGGATTGAGAGTGTAATGACACAAGTGGAAGTGGGCATAGCATAGCCTAGGGTTTTGTTTCTTGTCGGCCATGACGGAGCAGCGGGAGGAGGGGAGCTGGGGATGGGGGTCGTGGGGCTTTGCAGCTCTTGCGGATCTGCACAAGGCAGCGGAAGGCATCTCCAAGAATGTGAGTGCGAGTCAAGCTCGGATTTGGTGGATCCATGTGTGTGTGCTGCAGGCCGTCGAGGCAGCCAAAGGAGCGGCCAAGGGCATGGCTGATTTGCAGTCGACGCTGGCTGAATCGCTCACGGACAAAGCCGAGGAGACTAGTGCCAAGGATGCGCAAGGCGCAGACGAAGATTCTCCCAGCGACAAGCTACGCAGGGATGCGCTCAAGAGGCTGGAGGGTGCCAGTAGGGATTCCAGCATCGGCCACGTACGTACACTCCCATGGCTGGGTGAATCTAGCACTAACTAGCCCCGCGATGTGCCAGGGTCTCAAGGTCTTGGACTCTTCCATGGAGAACTTGGCGTCCGAGGCATACCAGGCTTTGGGAAATGCCTGGAAAGGAGGGATGAGCTTTGTCCACAGGTATGCAAACGTGCACGCCTTTGCTCACACTTCCACCATCATCTACTCAGGATTGAGAGCTCGGCCGAAGTGTTTGCGGGTAGCGTTCACAGCGAGGGCCTGAGCGCCAAGGCAAGTGCTCTTGCTCCCAAGCTCATCCAGGTAGGAGCTCAAGTTTGTTGGGCGTCGTAAACTTGTCTAGATTGTAGAGCGGCAGGGAGTTGACCGCCAAGAGTCTCAAGGCTTTGGAGTTCGTGGGGAAGGAGACTCTGGATATTCTGGCGCTCGACGGCGTTGGGGACCAAGCAGAAAACCGACAGAATGCAGCAGAAGATGCAAGTTTTGACCACTGCTTCTACATTTACGGGGGTCCAGAACATCTCGAGGTAAGCAAGTGGCTCTCCTCCGTCTGATGGAGAGATGCGCTGCATTCAGGAACTGGAGGCTCTTTCCAGTCACTACGCACTGGTCTGCAACCGAGCAAAATCAAAAATGTCTACGGAAGAGCGCGCTGCTTTCGACGAGCTCTGCAAGCAGGTTCCTCGCGTGTTGAGTCTTGGAGATGGTGGTGACTGCTCCGCCGATGGTGATAAAGGTAAGAAAATTGGAGCAGAATCGCTGCTAGATGGAAGTGAGGTGAAGTCACTACGTGAAGCTGGTGTCAGTAAAGCTGCGGAAATGGCGACTAGGTATGCTTGTTGGCTTTTGTCTCTCACATGTACGCATGGTCGCCTCTAAAATGCTAGCTTTACCACCACACTCGAAGGATTGGCTGTCAGTGAGGTTATACAGAAGACGTGGGATCGCATAGAAGCGATCAAAGCAGAAGGCGTCCACGTAAGGCCTTTGTTCTTTTCTCTTGCCGTTCAAGCTCTAGAGCTTTGGATTTTGTGCAGAGACTATCGGAGCTGTGCGCCGTTTGCATGTCGCACCTCGTGCTATTGAGCAGGTCCCTCCGGGAAGGCAACTCAGAGGAATCAGGAGCGAAAGAAAGCGATGGCCGCGAGTTTGAATGGCCCAAGGACTGCTTAAGCAAAGCTCTTGTGGTCAGGAGCCGGGCGCTCAATATGGTTACTGATATGGAAGCAATTTCAGACAGCTTTGTAACGGGTAAGCCTTTACGAGCAATTTTCCGGTTATATAGAGCAGCGGCTGTGTAGGCATTGGGGACGTTGTAGCAGCGTTTCAGGCTGCCAAGAAGAAAGTGATCGAGGAGCAAGCTCCCGCCTCTGCGAGGTACCAGTCTATTGAGGACAAGGCTCGCGCGCTGTGCTGTGACCTTCAGAGCGATGGAAGTGCTGCCGTCGGGAAGTTGCAACACGGTCTTGAGCAGCTTATGTTCGTCCTCGTCTCAACGGCTGTCAGGAATTGATGTGTTAAAAACAAGGAATGTGAATATTCTTCGCATTAAAAGGTGGTGCCACGCCCGTTGCCGCTTGGGGCTTACCAATGGCTCCAAAGAAGAAGGCGCCCGCGTTTTACACCGGTCAGGATGACCTGCTAGCGTACAGAGTCAAGGTGAAAGAGCGCACGTTGTTCAAACTACATTTCTGATCAACTCTTGCGTTGCAGCCGAGTGATTTGCTGACAACACCGCTAGGGCTGACTGCAGCTGTTCTGGGTGTCAAGTATTTCCACCCTTTCGTCTAAACCCTGGTCCAGTGTCGCGAAATGGCTCGGTCGGTCGGTCCATTGACTGGTCGTTGGTCAGGAGGTGCACAATGTGATGCGTACTCGGGAGGTGCTCGCTGTAAATTCTTCTCGTTCTTTTGCAGGTATGCCAAAAAGGATGATCCAGAATCAAGCAATCTGTGGGTGGAGCACCGGTGCGAATATCAGTCGCCTATTGAGGAGCAACTCTACGAACAAGAGTAGTAAATTCACTCCTTGCTAAGTAAGGCGTGTATTCAGGCTGTTTTTTGCCCAGGTACGCTCGTTGCCCACAAGGAGCAAACATCTGGAGGGACGTATTGACGCTCGACAAGGTGAGAAAGAAAGAAAGAGCGAGTACTTGAGACATAGTTTAATATTGCGGCTTTGACTCAGATTGTCCAAGAGGATGAAGAGGAGAGAGCTTTAGTGCAAGAGCTCAACCGCCAATACCAGGAGCAACTAGCAGCCGAGGTGGCCAAGAAAAGCAAGAAGAAGAAACTACCCGAACCTGCTGCCGATGCAGCTCAACCTCCCGACCCAGCTGCAGCCGCCACGCCTCAGCTTGTGGCACCCCCTGTATCATAGCACTCAGAGAGATGATGGCTTGGCACTGAGTGCTTCGAGTGGCTTGGATGGCATATGCTTAACAAACTTGTCTCCCTTCTACTGCTTCCTTGGCATGAAAACTGCATTGTAAACATTCACCCAATATTGTGCCTCCTGGAAAATCTACACCGCGAGAGCCAAGAGAATTGAATCAAAATCTTTACGACCTTGCGGTCCTGAAAACAAGATGAGGTTAGGAGACAGCGTGATGTAGCTCTCATACACCTCCAATTCCCGTGGCCTCATTCGTTTTCCCCTCGCCCTAACAGTAAAAGGAAATTGCTATATGAGCTTCTTGTGAAACGACTAACTTTTAGGCTGATGACGGAGCTGCATAATACCATGCGCTATTGCCAACGTTGTCGTCTAGAAGAGGACAGAAGAAATGGCAAACCTTCCTTCCTTCCTTCCCTTCTTGTATCCTTGGACATACGAGGCAACCTGTAGAAAAAGAATGGTAAGTGAAACCTATCATATGGAAGCGAACCTTGAGCATGTCGATAGTGTTCAGTCCCAGCAGATGAGCCTTAAATCGCATCTCTTCTTGTGAAACATCAAGGACTTTTAGAGGTTAACTTCTACACAGGCAAGAAAGATCCATCTCAATATAAGTCTTGTTCTATTGCATTTATAACTATTACATTTTCTCTCTCAGGAGGACGATGTCAATGTATCTCCATAGCTCGGTCCTGCGGCACATGAGGTGCAGGGGACAACACGGCTGTGGGGATCCAGGTCCGTTGGGATGTAGATAGGGGTTCTGGTGTGAGAGGCTTTTAGCCATGCTAGATGGGCGGTATAGTGTATGATGGGGTCCAGGCCTTGTGGGAAGCATGCAATTGAGCTCACTTTGATGGAATCCAGGTCAAAGTATCAGTAGTGATGGCGGAGTGGTGGAGATTTACACTAGCAGCAGTAAGGCTATCCTCCGAGGGGGAAGCTAGAAAGGCTGGAGGAGTGGTAGAAAGCATGGGTACTGTGGCGACTAGAAGGAGGTTTGTTGGAGATAGTGCCCCCTAGAGTTGATCTTGCAAACTGCACAAAGGGGGGATTTTGTTATGATCCAGCGCAAAAAGATAGAGATCTAGTCACCCTAGACTATATTACGCCACCTCTTGAGGTTCCTCACCACCCGAGCTACCTCAAAAACTCCATTACGCTGCCGCTCCACTGTGAGCCCTAGGGTAGGTTTTGTCCCTTACCTTAACATGCCTTAATATACCCTTGAGTCTCCTTTTGACTGACGTTAACCACGTGGTCAAAATTGGTGCCTAACAATTCTTCCCCCCTAACAAAGTCTTTGTCCCAAGAACAAGTTGTATTGGTAATCACCTTTTTTAGGGAACCCTACTCAAGCTCCTGGTTCATCTTCCACAGCCGTATACATCAAGGAGGCATTGGGCTTGTCACTCTGAGATAGTACACCTTTCAACTGGCTGACATAAAATACTGAATGAATTTTCACCTTAGCTGGCAGTTGCACCCGATAAATCATTTTACCAATATGCTCTAACACTTCATATGAACTAGTATATCGATGAGAAAGTTTATCACTCTTCCTTGTCCGTAAAGGCACTAAAGTGTTCCACCACTTATTTGATGGAAAGATCATTCACACGAAGACAAGATCACCCACCTTATATTCCTAGAATTAGCAATGCTCATTAGCAAATCTTTTTGCTCTATCCTGAGTTGCTTGCAAATTCTATTTGCACACTACCAGAATCTCATCAAGTTTTGTGGCCAGATCAATTGCCTCTGAATCAAGCTTATCTTGAAAGTCCTTACTCAAATGCAATCTCAACTCCACCATTGTTTAGGGATGCCTTCCAAACATGGCAAAGTAAGGACTTAGCTTGATTCTACTGTGTTGGCTATTGTTGTAAGTAAATTTTACCAACGGAAGATATAAATCCCACTATTCTTACCTTTGACCAACACTACAACATAGCATATCCTCCACCACCTGATTCACACGCTCGGTTTGCCCATCTGTCTGAGGATGATCTCCACTCGAGAGTTTCAAAGTCACTTGTATAGCTTTTGCAAAGCTCTTCCAAAATCCACTTGTGAACTTTGAATCTCAATCACTAATGATGTCCTCTGGCAAACCCAAATCAGGAAAAACCTTCTCCAAGTAGACCGCAGCTAAGTCTTAGGTAGTGACAGTCTTACGAAGAGCTAATAACTGCACATACTTCGTCAACGAATCCACTATGACTCATACTTGCTTCTTTTGCCTCTGTGTCCATGGCAAATGAGTGATGAAGTCCAAGACTCGGACTTGGTCTTGGTCCCGGTTTCGGACTCGGACTCAGTCTTGGTCTTGGTTTCAGGTCCATCTTGGACTCCATCTCGGGTCTATCTCAGACTCCATATCAGGTCTATCTCGGACTCCATTTCGGACTCCATCTCGGGTCCATCTCAGACTCCATTTCGGGTCCATCTTAGATTCCATCTTGGACACTTTCATGTGTCATATATTGGTCCTTTTGTGTCCCTTTTTTGGAGACTCACTTATTGATTATTTCATGCTCGTTCCTCGAGTCCTTCATTGGGAGTTTCACTCCCACTCTCGACTTTTCAAGTTGGAGCTTTTAGTCCAAATGTGTTACGCTCATTTAGCTTTTGCCTCCACCACTACCATGTGGCACCCTTTTGGCTCCCCTTTGGAGCCTAGGGATTTTGTGTCTCACAATTAAATTCTATAGAGTAATAATATTCCACGAAGCAAGAGTTACTTTCCATTATTCATGCTTTACAAATATAGAGGCATTTGTAAGCGATTAATTTTTCCATTTTGCTTTAGTCACTTAACCACACCTCCAACCACTTGGGCCTTGTGTAAGCGATTAAATTTTACATTCTACTTTAGTCACTTAACCACACCTCCAACCACTTGGAGGAGTCTCACTCGCAACCTCCATAAGTCCTATTCCGGACTTGGGGCTGGCTAGCCCCGAGAATGGCATCTCTACCACTCAACTTTTGCACTTGGTCCAAGTGCTCCACATGTCCAATCCCATGACCGACACTCAACGGTACCACCAACATAGCAGCCTATTATGCTAAGGCCCTGCCCAATCACCTTGGCCGCACTGGTGGTCCAATACCATCTGCATCATAGTCCTGTCCCTTTGAGACTGGGCCATCCATCCATGAGTGGTCATCCCAGATCCACTCCTTAGCATCCTTAGAATGCCCATAGACAAGGGGAACAGCTTTCCCCAATATCCTTCTTTCAGTCCCCACCAAGTCCTGTCCTATCCATGGTCGTGTTTCACCACCACTGCCACTAGATCAAGGCCCACAGGCCGAACCACTAAGTCCTATTGTCCTCTTGGACTTCCTCACCATGTGACCGTATCTTTAGTCACTACCTTAGAGGACTACTCCTCTTCCTTTCCACAGTTTGGGACATTAGGACAATATTTTGGAACACTGTGGCCCTACGCGAGCCTCATAGGTACTCTCCCCACTTTCCACCTTTTGGTGCTCTAGCCATGGGCTTAAAGTGAGGTTCCATTGAGCCATACAAGGTATCCAAGTAGGTAGTGCCACCCACACTTGGATTGGGATCATCAACCATTCGATCTCCCAGGGGAACTAGAGCCAGCTTTTGAACACTTCACCAAGCTACCCCGTTTGTCAGTCCATGTTCACTCTAGCTTTGGACTTCCCAGTGGTTATCCCATCACCCAACACCTGGGTACGACCTTTCTGGGCCAAACTAGCCTTTTCTGGCCAAATTGGCTCCACTGAAGTCCTACTATACTTTTGGAGCTCACCAAACCCCCTAGGGTTTGGGAGACGAACACTTTGGGCTTTCACCCTTGGACTTGGTTTCGGCCTCGGCCTTGGTCTCGGTCCTGGTCCCAGTCTTAGTCTCGGTCTCGGTCTTGGTCTCAACCTCCATCTTGGGTCCTTTTCGGACTCCATCTCGGACTCCATCTCGGGTCTATCTCAGACTCCATTTCGGGTCCATCTCGAACTCCATCTTGGGTCCATCTCGGACTCCATCTTGGGTCCATCTCGGACTCCATCTTAGGTCCATCTCGGACTCCACCAAATGTCATGTGTTGGTCCTCTTGTGTCCCTTTTCTAGAGACTCTCTTATTGCTCACTTCATGCTCGTTCCTTGAGCACTCCATTGGGAGTTTCACTCTCGCTCTCGACCTTTCAAGTCGAAGCCTTTTAAGCTCTATTTCGTTAAAGTGGGATTTATTCAGTAAAATGGGACTAGGTACAAATTTTCAAGTATTTGAAAATGACTTGAAATTATATATTTTTTGTCCAGGGGCTAGACATATCTGGGGCATGGTGACTAGCGCGGTGACTTTGTGTCCAGACTGAGTCCATCTAGTTGTATAATAAATCTCATTGTCAAGGTGAACAAGCCGAATCTGAAGCTAAAGAAGAGTGATGGCATGCGCGCACACACTATTTGTTTGTTCATTGAGCGTGTGGTGAGCTTTCCAAGATGAACGTCATTCCTATTAGCCAGACATATAACTTAATGGTGAGAACATTTAGATATTATTCAATGTTATCTTTTTCTAACGAATCTAATTGTGAAGGTGTAGCAAGAGGCATTGCTAGTCTGGAGAAGTCATTTAACTCATTTGACCCTTAGTGCATTTTCATGAAACTAAATAATATTCATATTATTAAGGAATTTCTCTAGTACCTTTTTTTTACGACATAGAGGCTTGCATTTCTTTCAAAGGTGATTTAGTAAAAGGCCTGAGGGCACATGCCATTCTATTTCTCAGACCGGTATTAAGATATACTAGTGCAAAGGGAAAAAGGTATTTGGTGATCAAGTAAATGGCATGAGGGCACACGCCATTATAAGCCTAAGCGCTAGTGGACACCTCCTTTTTGGTACTCTCAGTGGTACTATCATCCTTCTCCGGGTCAGTTGTTTTGCTTTGGATTGTTGTCTCTGACGTTACTGGGGCGTTCTCGATAGTTGTTAATGTTGCCATTTGTTCAGAAAAATGATCACCTGGAGTATAGTACGGGGAGTTTGGAAGACTTATATATTCTACATCTTCACCTATCTCCTTCTCCGTCTCCTTTTCTGCCTCACTTACAGATTTTGTGCTTGCCATGAGAACGCTCTTCACCCTAAAATATGGAGTTCGTTGTGTTATAAAAGGAAAC